TGGATGGATGGATGGATGGATGGATGGATGGGTAGATGGGTGGATGAATGGATGGGTAGATGGATGGATGAATGGATGGATGGGTGGGTGAGTGGATCTATGGGTGGAAGGATGGATGGATGGATGGATGGATGGATGGATGGATGGATGGATGAGTGAGTGAGTAGATGGATGGATTAATGGATGGGAGAATGGTTGGATGAATAGATGGATGGGTAGATGGATGGATGGATAGATGGATGGATGGATGGATGGGTGGGTGGGTGAGTGGATGGATGGGTATGGGTGGGTGGATGGATTAGTGGACAGACAGGTGTGCCAATTATAAATTAGAATAAAGGTTCTTATCTGATGTCCATGGCTGAACTTCTGCAGGTATGTGGGGGATTGTTAATAAAATTACACAAGTGTAAGCCTGTAATATCACTCTTGTGGAATGATAATACTCACATTCATTAATTGTCCAAAAGGATTTGTATGTGAAAATATGTTAAAAACCACTGCCTGATTCTGATAAAAGGAAGCAAAGAGACAAAAAAAGAATATCTCAAGCTGCTGAGAAATACCACTGACTTCTTCCAAGAAGTTTTTCCTGATTCACCTCACCCAATGATTTGAATTTCTTTCCTCCATAACCTCTTGGCACTTATGATTGTAACATCCATGCACTTCTTTCACGTGATGTCCATTTTGCTCTCAGTGGTCCTTGGTTATTTCTCATGTGTTGAGGTTATCATCTGCTGCATTTTAAACTCCCTGACTTATAACATAACTGCACCTCTGTATTCTGAGTACTGCCTTTTGGAGTCTGCTGTTTACAATTTTAAGCTTTCCTATTAGCAATACTTCCTTCAAAGTATTGCATATTTAATGCAAATATCTGAAAGATATACTCTTATTGCATAACTGTTTTCCACCATAGAGAGAAATTTATTCCATTCATTTGGCTGCATATTAGCTCACCTCTCCTATTACCTGGCTTGCTCACTGTAATTAACCCACTGGGGTTAGTGACTACTCTCTGCCAGCTGTGATTTTAAGAAAAAAAGATGGGTTTCTTTGTTTGTTTCCCTTATTTTATAACTGAAGACTTCAGTTTACAAATTATTTGTTTTGTTTTTATTTTCCTAGGGCCCTAAAGGCATGGCAGGGGAGCCTGTGTTTTCTGTATGTATCTCCTTATTTGTGGGGAAAAGAAACCTAACTCTTTCACTGGGAAATAAAACACAACCACTGGGAGATTACTGTATTCATGCTCTCTCTCTCTCTCTCTCTCTCTCTCTCTCTCTCTCTCTCTCTCTCTCCCCCCCCCCCCCCCCCTTTTATAGCAATGTGATCTGATCCAGTTTGTGCGGAGCCATATTCGTGAGTATCTGTGTGTTATGGAACAAGAGCATGGGTGGTTGGGGAAAGACTGTAGATGGAGCCGTGTGATCAGGCCAAGGGCACTAGCTAGAGAAGCCTCTGTAGCAGGATTGCCCTGAGTGCCTACTGTAGAGACCTCTCCCATCAAAGTGGGGAGGAAAAGAAGGATAAGTAGAAGTGCCTCAGCTCCAGAGAAACACGTATTCAGGAAAAGAAAATGTGTATGGAAACAAGTAGACCAACTCAGAAGGTGTGTGCATCAGCTTGCATAATTAATATGACAACTGTGCAAAGGGATCAAAGGGGCACAATATTAAATGGGTGAACTTGAGTGTTTAGAGTTAGTTGGTTATTACATAAATGCCAAAGTCTCTCAAGAGCTGGTGGTCCTTAACACCATTGATAAAAACAATTATACATTTTTGCACAGAAATTTAGAAGTCAAATCATATACAACATTGTAGCAAGAAAGTTCTATGCCATTTTCTTCTTGTCTCTGTGTAAAAATGCATAATTTTTTTCACATTCTATAGGGATTTAAATTTTAGAATATCAATGGTTGTTGGAAAATAGCAGTTCCATTTTTTGTCTAAGGTGTTATTCAGACAGATAGTGATGTTAAGCTTAACTGTCTCTGTTACAGGATAATACGATCTTATTATTATCAGGATAATAAATAGCTTCTCTACTGGATGTTTAACAACTAAAGTTTTCAGATCAAAAATTAGACATGGGGTAAATTACATAGGCTAAAAAGACAGCCAATATTTTGGCCTTAGCCCTTTAAGGTCAGTGAGGACTCAGGACATAAGAGAACCTCTGCTGTGACATCCTAGAACTAAGTGGTGTCCCAAATTTCTGATCAAGGAGATTATGGGGCCACAGAGGAAAGTGTTCAACAATGTATAGTGTGCCTAAGGAGAGTCACCTAGAGAGAAAAAATTCTTTCAGGCTTTTACAGAGAGCAAATTGGTCAAGCAATGGCCATGAGTCATCCAGATGGCTGACACTGACAAAAGATCTTCAAGATGCTGTACATGGTTTCAGGGTAAATCTTGAGGGGATTTGACTGACTTTGTCAGATACAAAAGTTACATTTTTACTTATATAAGTCTTGCTCTAACTTGTCTTAACCATCCAGCAGAAAAGTGTGACCATGAGGTATAAAAAATAATGCCATATTAATATGCTGAGCTGTAAAAAGCTCAAGTCAACCACTTCTGACAATTGCCAGTGCTGATAGCTCACTTCTGGTATGGACTATTGGACTAGATTGGGGTGTTTTGCTGAATTCAAGTACCTACAATCTTTGGACTGGTATCAAGTATCAAAGGGTCCTTTAAAGTCTTCTCCAAATGCAGCTTCTCTAACTGCAGTGGAACACTCACCCATCTCTGACAAAACAAAACAAAAAAGAGGGATATGTTGGGATCCAGGAAGCTAGGAAATCAGTCAAATGTGTGTAGGTGGGACTGGGCTTCAGCGCCTAAAGCAAACAAGCTACCTCAGTCATGAGATACACATCCTGTCTCGTTAAGGTCAGCTATTAGTTGCTGGACAACCTAGTGTCACATGTTACTAACTTTGCAAAAGTATAGATAAAGGACAGTTTTGGGCTGACAAAATAGCTCAGAGGATTAAAGCGCCTGCTTAGGCAGATGCAGCTGCCAGTTTGATCCCCGGCATGCTGCGCCGGCCCTGCCCCGAGGGTGTGCTGAGACTGCAATTGATTTTGGGCATGGTGGCACATGCCTGTAATCCCAGCTCTTGAGAGGTTGAACACAGGTGGATCACTACAAGTCTGATATATATAGTGAGACCCTGTCCTAAAATACAAAAAAATAAAATAAAAATAAAAGTAAAAGACCATTTTGTTGTGAACAAAAAAAATATGTATGTATACACAAGATAGGATAGATATAGTTACTTCTCTTAGTTCATTGAAAAGTTTGTACTAATATTGTTTAGACAAGATATCATGTCTGCATCTTGTCCTCTGAATAACTACTACAAAGACAACAGTATGCAATGTATTATTTTAACTGTCCTACTAACCTGTTTTGAAACTGTTTCATTGCTATTTTTTTTCTCAGTAAAATGAATAATAAAAAAAATGATGTGGAGTTTTCCTAGGCTGTGGAATTAGGGAGTCAGAAACTTAAGAGGTGAACCTAGGAAGTTGTCTTGGTAAAAAAAGAAGTCAGAGGAGAGGAGAATGGTATTGCAGAGGTGGGAAAGCCTGGTACATGTGGGCAGCTTACAAGGCAAGGAAAATGGAAGCCAATAGAAAGAAGGCAGGGGAAGTGTGAGTGATGCCAACAAGGAAAACAGGTAAGAGCCTGGGCCCAAGATCACAGGAAAAGAATAAAGGAAGAGCCATGGTAGAGAGAGAGTGGTGATCAAGCTCCTCAAGGTGTAGTCAGTCTTCTCAATGAAGTCAAACAATGACTTCCCAAGGGTGAAAAATGTGGAGACCAGTCATTAGAAGGCTTGGGTTTTGAAGGGGAAAGTCTTCCCACACTGAATGTTATGATTTGTGTCTAGCTGTCCCCCAAAAGCCTCATGCAGTCATTGGGGTGGCTTCTAGAGTTTGTGATTAATTCATGATCCAGTGCTGGGATTATGAGTGTGAGTACCCTCAGGCAGATAATCTGCATACAAGTATAAGGAGGGAAGAGAGGCTAGCTAGCTGCCAAGCTGCTGCTCCCCACTTTGCTCTTTGCTGTTTTCTGCCACCGTGAACCCTGCCATGTGCCGCTCTGCCTTGGAGCCAGCCAAGTATGGGCTGAAACCTCCACTAACTGTGAACCAAAGAAGCCTTTCCTTCCTTAATTTTGAGTGTCAGGTATTTTGTATCAGCAATGAGGAAAAGGTAACTGAGACACTGAGTCAAATGAGCTAGCTGGTAATTAGAGGGCTGAGGAAGTGTAGGTGGGTTCTATGACTGCACAGGCTGCTGGTTAGACAGACATGGAACTCCAGAGTACAGAATGGAGATCAGACTTGGGGTGAGAGGCCCTTGGGGCTCTATAGATGATGTCACCAGGGTTCTTTGATGTTGGGTCCCTGGAATAACATTCTGTGCTCTATATTCCTGCAGCAAGTCTCTCAACCAGGTTGGATGGCTGGGACCCTCCTTTGAGAATAAAATAGACCTAGAATCTAAGGGAACAGAGAGATAAAGGAGGTTTTGAAAATAAAACCAGAGAGGTCAAGTGATTGACATTTTAAAAGGAGACACAGGAGTTGAATATTTTTAGGAAACCTAAATTGATAAAAGAAACACACTAGAAGAGATGAAGCCATTTCCATCAGGGTCACGCAGCTTTGATGGATCTGAACCCACATGTGGGTCTAGATCCTGGATCTGCAGCCTCACAGTTGCATCTGAGTTCTCAGTCGGATGCACCAGACCAGACCTGAGTTCTGAAATACAAAGAAGGCTGTGGGGATGTGTGGTGCCTGCTGACAGTCAGCACGCCAGGAGCCACAGGAGTGGATAAAGCTCTCTGTAGGGCTGCTGTGCAGGGAACATGTGCCAGGCCAGCAGGACAGAAAAGCCCTTTGTCCCCAAAGGTAATAAATCCTTTTATAGATTGGGATGACTCATTGGCTTCCCAGGAAGGGAATAAGCTAAGCATGGAAGTTGTCAGGCCTGTGGTTTCTGGGAGATTTGCTAGCACTCGCCCAGATGGATCTCAGGTTTACTGAGGCAATCAGTCAGAGAAACCAGATGTGTTTTACTCAGAGAGACCCTTGAGATTTTTATTTTCCTTCTTTCTGGCTGCAAAGATCACTCAAACAGAGGAGCTATATTTATAGTCAGAGACAAAGTTCATTTGAAAATCCCCCTGTGGTTCTTCAGAAAAATAGAGATTCCCAAGATGTTCATCAGAGGAGAAAATAGACCCATATTTTAACATTCATTGCTGACTGACTCTCAGAAGACTATAAAGAGAGACAAAAAAAACCCCTCCCCATTTCAGCTTGTCATTTAATCAGAACTCAGCTGTTGTGCTTCTAAGATAAGTGATCGGTGTTGCAGTTTCAACCAAAATTCTGCTAAGGTCTGCTGATCATGACTCACAGGGGAAAAGGTCAGGGAAGTTCACAAATTAATAAAACCCTATGGACATCTTCCTCAGTCCTTTAACCTCATTTTCAATTAAAGTCAAATAAAACTTAAGTTTTGTTGAAATATTGCTTTTTAATTTTTTGTTTGTGTTCCAAAAATGTAATAGACTCTTCTCTCTTTCTTTTTCATAGCTTGTTGGAAAGGTGAGTGTTTCTACCAGATTTTCCATTGCTGAATAATAACTGTGCTTTGATCAGACCAATTTGAACAAACCCCTTCTGCTTGTAAATAAGACTTTTTTCTTCATGCACATGGGTCAGTCTTTTGATTATGACTGCTGGATCAAGCCCCTGTAGACCCCATGGTCCTCTCTAGACGCTGTCTCAGTTTTCAACTCAGTGTCTCCACAGAGTGGGTCCTGCATTGCTGGAGAATAAGAGAACATGTCCCTGACTGATCCGTATACTACTGCTCTGTCTGCAGCTCTTTCCCTGATGCTGGCTTGTCTGACGTTTGATGTGTTCTTCCCACCCCTGACCCACATTTGCACCTGTCACTCGCTAAGTGCACCCCCCTCTTTGTGATGGTACAGTCAGGTCCAGGACTGCAGGTGGTGCTACATAATCTTTAGATCCTGTGGGTGACATGGTCATAAAGCCAGCGATGTCACTTCAAGCTCTCATGGTCTCCCTCGGGGTTTTAGAGCTTGTACCAAAGTTGGGAGCCATTCACTTCAATTCTTCAAAACAAACAAACGAACAAGTCACACACACCCCAAAGAAAACCTTCGCAGACAGTGAGTGCTCAATGAATTGTTATGGACTTGGATTGAATGTATCAGATGTCCTAGTAGGTACTGAATAGGGAAGAGAATAAAAGCAATTAGCAATTTATTCCATGTTCTAGGAGACTCTGTGATGATAGGAAAATTTGGGAGATACTTTTCAACCACCTTGTCAATAATTTTTAGAATAGTGCTAAGAAATATGGATTGCTTCCATTTTCTTATTCTATTGTTCATTATTAGCTTTCATATTTTAAAAGTTATCCATCTAAATTTTTTATTTAAAACACACCTTTAAGTTAATACTTTCCAATTTTCCTATTTTTGTCCCTAAGACTAGTGTTTAGGATATGAGATTTGGAGTTTAACACGTTTTCGGAGTTGGCTACTTAAAAAAAAAAAAAAAAAAAACTTTCTCTTCCCGTGTTCATATTGAAAAATCAGATTTCATACTTATTTCACTATGGAGTTCTTAAAGTTCAGTTATCCTAAAACAGTTAGTGCATTGTGAACTGAGATACCACTTCCAGAGAGGCTCACTGCAACCTTCCTTGGTTCCAAATCTGCTTCCCTCTGCCCTCCACCCAGGCCTTCATTCAAAGGCTGGCTCTCCCCCGAGAACCTTCTGTTTGGAAACAGCCTCTTCATCCTCTGAATCCTCATTCAGAAGAATAATTATTCTGCACCTTTTAGTCGAATGACATGTTCCATCTCCGTCCCTGGAGGGCAGGCCCACATTTGCACTGCGGGATTCGGTTCATCTGTGCTGCGTTCCCGCGGGAGGTGGCGCTGCATTTGGAGCAGTGGTGCTCAGTGAACGCTGGTTGCATCAGTGGATGAAAATCTACAAAATTACTTTATCATTCATAGGTCATTTGGGTATTTTTAGGAGAGCTTTTCAAAATGCCCAACAAACTATAATTTCCTTTTATTCATTTTTCAAATATGCATTCAGCAAAATTCACTTTCTGGGCTTGTGCTATTTTAACATATACACAGATTTATGTACCTACTACCCCAATCAGAACTAGAAAAGTTCCTAGAATCTCCCCAATATCCTTGCAATAGACTGATTGTGGACTCTGAAGTCTGAGCAATACACAGTCACATAACATACGACATGTATATCTTCATGTTTACAAAGCAGATACCTTCCTTTTTTGCATATGAACAGCCTGCTTCTGGTGCTGGGTGAAGGTCTCAATTCATCTTGTGTGAACCAAGACTATGAGGAAAGCTTTGATTCAGTGAAATAATTAACACTTGTGCATCTCTTCTCTGTAGAAAAGTGTCCGGTATACCCAACAGAACTGGTTTTTGCCTTGGATCAATCCTCTGGCGTCACTGAACGGAGATTTAATGAAACAAGGGAAATCATCACTTCCATTGTTAAGAACCTTACCATCAGGGAAAATAATTGTCCCATAGGAGTGAGAGTTGTTGTGGTTTCCTATGACTCAGACACCAACTATCTCATCCGTCCATCTGACTACCACAGCAAGAAGCAACTCCTCCAGCTTCTTTCCCAAACAGAATACCAAGTTCCCACTGGGGCCCGAGACATTGGTGGTGCACTCAGGTTCGTGGCCCGCAATGTTTTTAAGAGAATGTATGCAGGAGCTAATGGGAGGAGAGTGGCTGTGTTTTTTAGCAATGGTCAAGTAGCCAGCACTTCATCCCTCCTCACAGCCACCATGGAACTCAGTGCCCAGGATGTCAGTACAGCAGTTTTTGCCTTTAATGAAAGAGCTTTCCTTGATCAAGCTTTTGAGGTAAGAACTTTCTGTGAGAACCTCTCTAGGGTTGGGTTGTGGTATCGGTGTGGTGGGGCGGGAGTGGTGCAAAGCCAGGGAAATGTGGCTTCTTGGAGTTCACTGAGGTTTCTGCAGTGGTATTGTCAGTGTCATGAACTTCAGTACTTAATAATAACCACAGCAGCCATGTTTGCTCAGTTCCTGCACTGTGCCAGGTACTTTCCCTAGAGCTTTATGTGCATACTCACATGTTCCCAGTGCTCTGAAATTAAATCATCTCTATCTTAAAAATGAGACAGTGAGGTCCAGAATGTTCTTATGACTGATCTTCTACATAACTTCTAACTAGCTAATTCAACTTCAAATTCAGGCTAGGTGTAGAGGTACAGACTCATAATTCCAGCACTCTGGGAGGCTGATGCAAGAGGATTACAAGTTGGAGCCATCATTCTTAACCTAGTGAGAACTTATTGAGAGAGAGAGAGAGAGAGAGAGAGAGAGAGAGAGAGAGAGAGAGAGAGAGCGCTTAGTGTGTGAAGGCTTAGTGTGTGAAGGCTCTCGTACTGGGACATGAATATAGCACTCTAGTAACCCTTCTGGCCTAGTGTTACTCAGATCTCTCATCTGTGCACTGTATCTCTTTGTCTTAACCCATGATGAGTAAAGTTAAATGATCTTCCAGTCCTTCAAGTGGTATAAAACCTATGATGTATATGAACATTTTTCCCCAAAGGGTTTGTTAATTTTGGATCCATGGATTCTGAAGAGATTTATTCTCATTCCCCCCAATGTAAGAATCTCTCCAAGATGCTTAAATATATTCAAATTATCTATAGAAAACCTCCTTCTGGAGTTGAGCAAGACCATCATGTTGTTCAAGAGCTGAAAAGCATTTCATTTCTCCCAGATACACAAACATCCACTGTAAAAAGAAAGAGAAGCTCTGTATAACATGAGGAGACTTGATCTGCTCCCAACCAACTCAAGAGTTTTCTGGAGGTAGTAGCCTCAGGAAGCCTCACAACAGATCCTGACATAGAAGATTTAGATTAGTCATTTTCTTGTCACTACTACAAAGTACCTGAAACCTGTATCTTAAAGGAGTAGAGGTTTATTTGGCTCATAGTTTTGAGAGTTCAATCCATGGTAGGGGGAAGTTGCTCATCTCTTGGCCACCAGGAAGTAGGGAGAGAAGAGAGGAGCCCAGGGAGGGAGAAACACTCCCAGGTCACACTCCCAGGGTCACACAAGTAGCCTTCCCTACCAGTGCATTTAACTATGAATCCATGAATGGATGAATACATTGATGAGTGTAGTACCCCATGAACCAATCTCTTCCCCAAAGCCCCACCTCTGAACACATGAGACTTTAAGAGAAAACTGCAGATCTAAACCATAACAGAAAGTCACAATTTTGTGGGTCCCAGTTTTCCTTTTCCAGGTTTTTCAGCCTCCCTATTTTTTGTTCCATAAGTGAAAGAAGTGTCATTTCTGCCTTGAGAGCTGCACCAATTTCTAAAATGGTACAAGCAATTTAATCCCGATCTTCAGCTGGAACCATTCCAAAACCTCATGGAATCCCCAGCCAAGAAAAGTCTCCAGGCACTCCTCTTAAGTCATTGTAACTTCCACAATCTCCAGAGGGTATCTGACCCCAGAAGCCACTTTTTCTCACTCTCTTATCCCCTGGTAATAGCCTCACACATTTCTTCTGCCATGGATCATGCGATCATGCATAAGCGAGGCTGTCTCCAGCTGCTGAGTGTGTACCTTGCACCTCTATGCTTGGCTCCCAGGGAACACTTTCTGCTCCCCTCTCCCACCGCCTTCATCAGCTCCTCACTGGCTCCATTCTAAAGATGTAGAGCTGCTTTCCTTTTAAGAGCGTGTTTCCTCATGTACTTAGCAACATTGGATTTTATCTATCCAGCGTTTATAAATTTTACTAGTATAAACAAAGTTGTTTTAATCAATATTTCTGTGTGGTTAATTTTTTTATGTTATTGGCTATTTTTATTTTTCTGTGAAACTGTTACCTCATGTTCCTTGTATCACCTCTATTTTTTGTATTATTCTTCAAAATAATCTACTCTAAATCACTTTGCCTTGTGTCCTTGTCTCTGCAGCTGGAAATCTCAACTTGCAATGCTCCATTACTGTTTAAAGTTTTAATAAGTTGCATCAGCATAAATCTTATTTTTCTCTGTGGAGAACTAGCCCACAGTCTTTTATGAAGTTAGAAAAAATAGTCAGAATTATTACATATTCCCACACCCCTCAAGTGCTAGAAGTATACTACTGCTGGAAGGGAGTCTCTGCCTTCTATAGACCAAACTTTTTCTCTCTACCAAATCATTCTAATCAAAAGGGAAAAAAACACCCATTCTTCTTCTCTCAGCTTCTCACATCTATTACTGTCCTATTTCTTGGCATCCAATACAATGATTTCTTAGAAAATTTGTTTTTGTATCTGTTGTCTCCAGCACCTCTCTTTATTTTATCTCTGGAGCTAATCCTAGGCGCATCTTCATCCCTGGTACTCTCCTAAACTCCTCATTCAGGCCATCAATGATCTCTGTGATTTTGCGCCCAGTGGTCAGTTCTCAGCCTCAGCTCTCTTGACTTAGCAGCAGGACATGGTGTTGCTCATCCCACCCTTCTCTTGGAAGCACATGTTCTCTGGCTTTTGGCATTCCTTGTTTTCATGGAAACATAATATTTATGGTGAAGCGGGTGTGCTAGAGCATAATCAGAAGCATGTAAAAATTCAGCCAATAATTGTAGGTGTGGAAGTGAGGCATTTTAATACTTTCCCCAGAAAGTGAATGAGACTGTGTCTGGTCAGGTTATCCTATGACACTTTTCTCATCATAAAACACAGATGCTGATACTGATCTTTACATACATTTTGGGGGGTTATAAAGGAGGTGTGTGTGTGTGTGAGAGAGAGAGAGAGACAGAGACAGAGACAGAGACAGAGAGGAAGAGAGAGACAGAGACAGAGAGGAAGAGAGAGAGAGAGAGAGAGAGAGAGAGAGAGAGAGATCATTCAACCTAATCTTTATAGTGAGTACATTAAAGCTTCCTCACAGTGATGCAAAAAGTGGACAAGTAGGCATTCACTTCTCTTCCCCTGCAGTTTGACAGCACGGGAACATTTCAGGTGATTCCAATGCCTTCAGATGAGGAACATGAATATTTAGAAAGACTACGACGCTGCGTACTTTGCTATGGTAAGACCAATAAGTAGAATTTATTGTACTGAAGGCTATAATGCCTTCTAGGTGAATTATTGAATCTGGCTTTATTGGAGATTTCAATTTTTTATCGTATCATCTATTTTCTATTTTATAGTACTAGAAAACACCAGATGCCATCATTTCAATCTCCCTAGTGTTTGAAGTTTCCACAGAGTTGAAAATTGGTTTAGAAACTTCTCCGAACTATGGAGAGTTTCCTAGGGACAAGGTGGTAGTTTGTATCAAAAGGCCCTAAAACATTGAAACTACTTTCTAAATGAGTTTGGATTTCAGCTATATTTGCTGTCTAACTCTTCTTTCAGCACAGGCGTCAAATTGTCTACTAGTGGCCATACAAATATTGGGACATTGAAAATTCCTCATTGATTTAAGTGATGTGAAATTGAAGAAGTCAACAGGCTGTTGATTCTTGATAATTAGTCTGAATCACTAGAAATAGATTCCACATAAGTGTCTTGTGCTAACATTGAACCAAAATGCATCTCTGTGTTTTCAGATAAATGCTTTCCAGATACTTGTGCTGAAGAGGTTTTATTACCTGCAGATTCATACATGGATGTAGCCTTCCTTTTAGAAAATTCTCAAAATACAGCAAATGATGGTTTTAAGGCTCTGAAAAACTTTCTGAGCTCAGTAATTGACAACTTTGACATTGCTTCAAACCCTACAATCTCAGAGTCTGGTGACAGGATTGCTTTGTTGAGTTACACTCCCCTGGATGGTTCAAGGAGAAAGAAGGGTACAGTAAAAACAGAATTTGACTTTACAACTTATGACAACAAAGTACTAATGAAGAGACACATCCAGACTTCCCTCGGCCAGCTGAGTAGTGATGCCACCCTTGGTCATGCCCTGCTGTGGGCCACAGAACATCTCTTCCCAGAAACATCCCACCCAAGAAAACACAAGGTCATCTTTGTGGTCTCAGTTGGAGATTATCCTGAGACAAAGGAATTTGAGAAGAAGGTGGCTTTGAGGGCCAAGTGTGAAGGCTATGTCATGTTTATGATTTCTCTGGGCTCTAATGACATGGAGGAGTTGGCCAGCTACCCATCTGATCACCATCTGATACAACTCGGAAAAATGCACAAGCCAGAACTGAATTATATCGTGAAGTTTCTAAAGCCATTTATATACTCAGTCAGACGTAAGTCATTGTTTTTATTTTTTTTTAAAAAAAACCCTAGTATTTGTTCATAGAATTGAAAAGCTAACATGCCTACATTTTGTGTCTGCACACAATCAAAATATATGAATTAGATAATGAGAAGGGCAGTGATGGGACATGCCCTGGCTATATCCTGGTGATACCCTGGTTATAAAATGACCTTTTCTGTGGTAGAGTGTCTCTTGACCAAAGTCTGAGCAGTGGGAACTACGAAGTGACTGACATTTTCCTGAGTCATGTTTTCTGAGTCTGAAGAATTTCTAGCATTCCTGAGATGGTCTCTAGTGTAAGCATTTAGATAAAAGTTTTACTAGCAACACCAGTTATTTCCAACTTTGATTTGCCTTGGAGATCTGTGTGAAAATGGAAAGATGGCACCGTTGTGTGCTATACCTGACACTACGTGCAGCTTCTGATTCCACATGTGTATGATGAAGCCTGAGAGTCTGCATCATAAGTGGCCAAGTGATGTCAGTGTTGCTGGCTCATGGACCATGCTTTGAGGAAGCTGGCTCTCGGCCAATGCCCTAGAAAACTTTCCCCACGGAATGCACCACAATTGATTTGTGAAGAACAAATACAGAAATTCAAAGTAACCATCTAAAACCTTTTACTGACTGCTGCATCCCATAACTCCATGATTGGTGGACTCTGTCTAATTGAAAAGAATAGACAGCAAAAGTATCCCAGTCAGCTAGAATTAGCAATGAATTGTTCTTTCTTCTACCAAAACTTTTTTGAGAAACACTCATCTAGAGATAGCTCTCAGGCAGATAAGTGCCATGATTTTGCCTCAAGGAACATTTGGAGATGTCTAGAGACAGCTTTTGGTTGTTCACCTTGGGAGTGCTGCTGGCATCATGTTGGTAGAGGCTAGGGTTGCTGCTAAACATCCTATAATTGATAGGACTGATCTTCATCTCAACAAAAAATAACCTAATTCCAAATTTTGATGGCTTTGTAGTTGAGAAACTCTGTATGAGTCTGTTTCCCACTGCTATAATGAAATGCATGAGATAATTAGCATACAAAGACAAAAGGTTCTTTTGTCTCATAGTTCTAGAGGTTCCAGTTCAAGGGGCCTCATTGCTTTGGCCCTCCTGGAAGTGTGGCACATCATGGCAGAACTAGCAGAGGGAGGGCGACCTTGCTCATATCACAAGTTTGGAACCAAGAAAGGGACAAGGGTTTCACAGTCCTCTTCAAAGATACATTCCCCAGTGACCTAAAAATCTTCCTAAAGATCCATGGTGCCTGCCAATAGCCCCAACCTAGGGATTAATCTTTTAACCTATGGACCTTTGAAGGCCAGTCTTCTAAACCATAGCACCATCCTCCTAAAGATCCTCTGAGCAATGTTCTTTGTGGACATCTCTTAGGCTGAGGAAGAGTCAGCTGGAACAATTCAGCCAACCTATAATCTCAGGTTCTTTGATATTTGAGAGATGTTCCAGCACTTTCACAGTGATAAGATCTTGAAAATGCTCTCTTTCCTGCAAGGAGAGCTCCAGCTCTTTCTAGTCAGATTAGGTTGGAGAATCCATTGACTACCCTCTTGCCACTGCTCTATTATCTCCTTAAACTGAAGATGCCCTCAATTCTGTCATGTAAAATGGAAGGAAAAGTGCTTCTAGTTAAATTTTGGAATCAACTCTTCTATTAGAGATTTTTATATTATATTAGCTAAAAGTTCTTTTATATGTATATCAGTCCTGTGTGCCATAGAAATGAAATATATGAAATAGACTAGTTATGACATTCTTAAAACTTCTCATTCAGAATTTGACACTTGTGAAAGTCAAAAACTCAAAATTCAGAAGTTTTACTTCTTGACTTGAAGTCATTGATATAATTTTCTTGTGCCCCCAAGATCAATGGCAATTGAGCATTCTGAAAAGATTATCAAGTAATTCAAAACTCATCATGCTGGGTTCTTAAGTAGCTTTCAATTATGCAGAGCTAACTCGTTTTTTGCTTCCACCTGAGCAACACTGTTAAGCACATCAAATTTTCTATCTTCCCAGAATCACTTCATCTGTAGGAGTTATAATTACTCTACAGCCCTGGATTTCCCCCCAAGGTGCAGGCTCCTGTTCTGTACCTTTTGGTGCTGGCACCACTTGCTCTTCTACATGCATGGGGAATGTGGATAGCAGAGCCTGCCAGGCCAGCCACAAATGCAGCTCCACTTGATCAGAAAATATGTTCTCCTTCTAGATAAATAAGTGAAAGAAAAAGCATGCTTCCTGGAATAAAAAAAATGTGATTATTATAAAATTACAGACATTCTCTAAGATATTTTCCTGGAGTCTTCTATCAATCAATGATCAAAGGTTTCCATTAATTAGAAAAGATTTCCTGAATGTAGGGAAAATTATAAATGTCTCAGTATTCTCCAACTTATAGAATAATGTCAGGGAAATCATAAAAAATATTATTTACGCCAGGAAATTACATCTTTTCTGTGGTTCTCGTCTTCATAGGAAATCTTGTTGATTCAAAAGTACAGAAATAGCATCATATAATAAAATATTGTATTTTTTGCCATAATTTTATTGATAAACAAATAGCAATGAGATAGTTTCAAATCAAATATTATATTTTCTGTGTTTGATTCTGTAGCAATCTGAATGTAAAAGCTTTAAAGAGTGTGAATCAAATGTCTGTTAAGTTCATATTAGTCTGGGCTTGCATCACAAGCAACCCTTAGATGAACAATCTGAGATCTTTCCTCATGACTCCAGGAAGTCTTTGGCTGCTAAAACACTCAGAAATCAAATTTTGAATGCTCTTTCTAGTTGTTACTGCTTTGTGTTTTCACTGTGGCGGATCATGTTGCAATGTGTCAGTAACATTTATTGCTTCAAGAGGATTCCTGTTGAAATTCTCTTTACCTAGTGAACAGTTGCTAGTTTTGAAATCTAACTATAGCTTTGTTCTCTGAATAGGAGGATTCAATCAGTACCCACCACCCACGCTGGAGGATGCCTGTAGGCTCAGCAGTTTAGGACAAGACAGGCAGACCAGCGGAAGCCTGTGAGTGAAGAAGCTGTTCTATTTCCAAGTGACTACTGTGCTGGCCTATGCAGGCTATTAGTGTGAGGAAGCTAACAGGTTGTCTGAAGTAAAGGTCCCTCACGTATCCCATTCTCTTTAGCAACAGTTACGTTTCAGGCATGCTTTCTGGTTTGATGGATTTTTTTTATAACATAATGAGCTTTAGTACAGTCTTGCCTTTATGTTCATGCTTCCTCAGGAATTCCTGTACTGAAATTCCCTCAGAATGAAACCCGTGTTTTATCCTTACCTTATTTCAATCTCCCCTACCTCCCTATCTTGAAGCTCTGGGGTCTGGCTTCAGTGCTTCCTACTTTGCATGAATTATACTTACACACAGACACACACAGACACACACACACACACACACACACGCACACACACACACACACGCACACACACACACTCACTCTGTTCCACAGCCTGTGATGACCCAGTTCCTTCCAGTGAAACCCTACCATCCCTAGCCCATATTGAAGCTGTGTCCTCTTTGAAGCTCATCTCTATTCCAAAGCAAAGTCCACCCCTTTCTTCTGTACCATTTTATGTCTCTTTGAAGGCATTATGACAGCTAACCCTGTCATAATGAGTCTATCCTCACTGAACTCTGGGGCTGTGTATGATTGTTTCACACCCAAACATTGCACTCAAGGCCTCGCGTTACAGTTGCACACATACAGTATAATTTTTCTTAGTACTGCATTACACCTAAACAAAAATAGGAGTAATTAATCTGAGTTTTGAACCTTAAGTAGGGGGAGAGTGGCCCTTCTTGGTACTTCCCTGAGCTTGGATCCCTGACTGAGCCTTGTGAAAGCCCAGATTTAGACACACTCATTCTTCTTAGATTGCAAGTAAGCAAAAGAGCTTCTCAAAACACACAAGCCCTCTTAGGTTTATCTAGAAGTAGAATGTCAAAGTTCCTGAGAATTCATGACAGTACATATGACGCTAATATCAGATTCTGTTCCCTTGGTACTTTAACAAGGGAGCGTCTGGAAGCCAACACCTTCTGAAGGACAACATGGCACTAATGTCACATGGAGCAGGGTTTCCCAATCTTGAAGCCAACCTATGTAAAGAAAAATAGGTGCTTATAGGATTTCAGGCAAAATGCTGTATTTTTTGTTGTTGTTTTTCTTTATTTTTGCACTGCTGGGAGCAAGCCCAGGGCTTTGTGCATGCTAGACAAGTGCTTTACCACTGAGCTACATTCCCAGTTCTATTATGTTATTTTAAAATACACCAATGTAAATCCAGCTGGAAATACCATATGCTTGTATTTCTTCCACAGCTATTTAACCAAAACATATTTATATATCATCAAATCCAAACTAACTCAATATGACACACATTTTCAACATTAATTTCATGTAATGTATAATTCTCCTTTGCCAAATGGAATTCCCCAAAACCACAGCATATGGTATATCTTGCTAAATCATAAATAATGGGGCATGTCACAGAGGTACATGCGCCTTCAGCTGGCCTCCTCTTTTGCATGGTGAACTTGAGCTCCTACCACATGTTTTTACCCACACTACTAAAAGATCTTCTACAGCATGGGTTACAATTGTCACTTGGCTTTTCCTTCACATGAACATGTGGTATACATCAGCTATCTGACTTTGTTTCCTTCCCTCATTAAGTAGCAACAGTTAAAGTGGTATTCTGGGTGCCAAGGACTGGTCTCAAGCAAAATGCAAACATAGACATTGAAATTACATTAAATTACATGATCCAGAATAAGTTTATGTTGAATATGTTTTCTATTATCATTTAAGTAAAACACAGAATTCTCAAATTGTCACAGATAACTCTTCAACTACCAAGAATATGTCAGCACCATTTTAAAAGGAACTATATCAAGTGATATCTTTTATATGTTTACTCTTGTCAGAGCAGTGCTTTGTAAACTAAACAACTATTTTCTACAGTAATCTGTGTCAATCTGGGATTGGATCAACATAAATAAGTTGTCCCAAATAATTTAAGATTGAGTTTCTTTCCATTTATCTAAAACTCTATAAAAATCAGCTTGGGCTTATTCTAAAGTAGTATTTCATGGGCTATAAGTAAATGTGAAAAAAAGGAAGGATAATGCAATTTTTATCAGGGCTTTAAAGGATGTTATATGTGTAAATATACCACATTTTTTGTTTGTTCATTGGCTGACAGGCATCTAGGCTGTTTCCTTACCATAGTTATTGTGAATTGTGCAGCAGGGTAGGGAGGCAGCATCTCTATTGCATGTCGACGCTAATCTTTTCAGGTAAAGACTGAAGAGTGATGTGGCTAAGTCAACTAGTAGTTGTAGTTTTAGTTTTTGAGAATATATAGTCAAGTATTATTCAGCCATAAAGAGAAATGAAATCATGTCATTTGCATGAGTGGGTAGAATTAGAGATCATCGCCCAGATTTGGAAAGATAAATGTCAGGTTTTCTCTCATAGGTGGAGTCTAGGGGGTGGGGTAGAAATGACATAAATAAAAGACAGGCTATCAGAGAAAAGAGAGAGTACTGGGGAAGAGGAGAGGGAGGGAGAGGCACATGGGAAGAAGGAAATGATAGAATATGTTACATGGGTGTGCACATATGTCAAAATGCTGCAAGCCAGAATGAAACTCATTATTCTGTAGAGCCAATATTTAGCAAAATATAATATGCATAATAAATCTATGAATTTCTTGGTTGAAATTAACTTCATCTTTACCACTCTATTTTTTAAAGAAATAATTATTAAATTACTGGGATGTCTTATTTACATTCACAGAGTTAGCTCACCTAAGATTCTGGTTTTTTTCTTTCTTTTAGATTTACTGATGAGGTTTATGAGGTCTCTGCAGACATGAACAGTCTCATCAGCCAGGAATTAAGGGCCAGGAGAGATCCATCTTTTGTGTTGGAAGAAAATGGAGATGACCATTTGGTCTATATCCCAAACCGAATGCTGGAGCCACATAAATTACTGACTAACTATGAGAAAGATCAGAAATTCACAGAAGCTGCAAGTCTCACTTCTGGTATGGAAATGAAAAATTATGGAAAAAGTTTAAGTAATCTAGATATTAGCTTTATCTTTAAGCCTCAGTGAAGAGACAAATAAGTTAATGCTGATGTCTAAGGCAACTATGGCTCTTCAAATTCAAGAGGATGGTGACAACCTCTGCTTTTATTGAAAGTGAAAAATTAAATAGTGACAAGTAGCTGATTCTGATAGCAGCTCTTAGAATATCTTTCTCTGATATGCTTGCCAAACTTTAAGACTTCTCAGAATCTGTAGTATAAAGGATGGTATGACATAGAAGGAGACAGAGTAGAAAATAACAGAGCAAAAGAGGGATTTAAAAAGATTTTAAAAAGGTGGTCAGTGACCCAGAATTTGTAACTACACAAGAAGGTATAAATTTTATTTGGGGGTTTACCCAACAATGGTAGAGCATAAACTCCCCCAATGCCTGCTGTTTATATTTATTTATTTATTTATTTATTTATTTATTTAGTTTTGCATCTTAGGGAAGGGTCTACAGGGTATTCAGGGTCTCATTACTAGATCAGACTTGTAGTTATCTACCTGTTTACAGCCTCTCAAGAGCTGGGACTATAGGTGCACACCACCATGCCCAGTCTCAATCGCTGTCTCAGTGCACCCCAGGGGTGGGGCCAGCATGGCAGGCCCAGGGATTGAACCCTTGGCCCCTGAGCCTGCTTGCAGGTTCTTTAATCCACTGAGCTATTTGGCCAGCACTGCCTTTTATATTTAAAAATCAAAGCAGGGTTTGATAACAGTAAACAAATCTGAAGTATGATTATGTCTGCATTTTCTTTATAAGTTTGGAATTCCAAACAGACTATTCAACTTACGCATTTAAAGTTTTCCAAAATGTTCATTTGGCCAGAATGCCAGAATCTTAAGCACTTTGTCAAAAGTGTCATGTAAGTAGTTAGAGTATGAAAGTATTAAAAAAAAAAAAGGGCTCATTTTCATACTGTAATATTCATTCTTAGCAGGTTCCCTGGTTACATTTTCTTTTTCTTGGATTCAACACTTGTGTTGATATAGGAGAAAGGAACTCCCAACTAGCTGAGTATCTGGTACAACTTCATGTTCTCTAAAACCAAAGAACGAATTTAGGAACTGTCTCAGTTAGTTTTCTCTGGTTACTGGGACAAAATACCCGACACCCAAAATTAAGGAAGGAAAGCCTTATTTAGCTGACAGTTTGTGGAAGTTTCAGTCCATATTCAGCTGGCTCCAAGGTAGAGTGGCACATGTCAGAGGACAGCAGTTCATGGTCGCAGAAAACAGCAAAATAGCAAGAACAAATAGGAGGAGTACCAGCAACAATGGCTATAAAAAGGAAGTCTGTCGCCCTTATGTTACATTCAGGCTATCTGCCCCAGGCCAAATGTAACACTCACACCCATAATCCCAGTAGTATTTATACCCATAATCCCAGTAGTATTTATACCCATAATCCCAGTAGCACTTATATCCATAATCCCAGCAGCATTCATACCTATAATCTCAGTACTGGATCATGAATTAATCACAAACTCTAGAAGTCCGCCCCATAATTGCATGAGGTTTTAGAGGGACAACTAGCCACAAACCATAACAGGAACAATGGAGATAAAGAGCAGAATATGTTTACTGAAGAAAAGAAAGCTTCTGAGAGACAGAAGAGGACCCAAGTGGGTTGTCAAGGAACCTGCCTTTTTTAGGGAATTTTAAAGAGCAAATCTACAAGGTGAGGCTGGTCCAAGGTGGAAAAGAATGGGAAATTGCAAGGTAGGCATGAGGTGGGACAAAACTATGTTCAACCAGTAAGATCACAGGTATAATAGCTCAGGTAAAACTGGTTAAGTCAGGATCGAACTAGGAAGCCAGTCATGTAGCAAAGTGACACTGTCAAGTTAGATGTGCTCAGTACCCTGGTGCAAAGGCATCCAAGTATGTATAATTTCTTTTAGTAAACTAAATTTAGTTTAGTAAACTAATTTCTGAATTCTCACATAGGCATAGCCTAAACAAAAGAATTAAGTGAGTTAAATGTTTATTTTTTTTTAATGGATATTGTTTATTTTGGTTATTCATTTTAATGCTATGCTAATTGTAACAGCCTTCAAGACACAGGAATTTATGGTGATTTGGTTCATAAAGAATGATAAAAGCTAGTGCTAGACAGTAAATTGTCATTTGTGATAGCTTTATTAGAACAAGCATTTAAAATTCAGATGTCTGAACCCTTTAAGAAAGATTGATAGATATAACTGGATTATGAGAAAGGGAAGGGAGAAGGGTAAAGGAGGAGAATGGAGAGAGGGAGAGGAAAAGAGAAGAGAGGGAGAGACAAAAAGAAGGAGAGTGGGAGAGAGACATTAATGGGCATTGTTCACTAATAAAGAGTTTTCATGTGATTTTCCAGACGTGAGAATCAAGACATTTGTAGTGAGTGCTAAGGTCCACTGTGGTTGAAGAAATGACTTCATAATTCCAGTAGGGAAAGTGTGTCTACAAAAGAATGGGAGTTTCAGGGAGGATTATGTCAGGCTGTGATAGCCTGGAAGCAGAGCGCTTCAGATCTAAGGGTATTCCTCTCAACTGAACCTGAAAGTGAAATCATAAGTGTTTCTAGAATCCCCCTCACGTCCAAATCATCTTAACTCACTTACCAAAAACTGCTGAGAGTTTCCCGTGTAATGCGTTGTGGTTCAGGTACATTATTCAGTTGCTAAGAGTAGGGCTAATAAGTTTCAAATGTATTATACAAAGAAAGGGTCGATAGCTTCCATAAACACCCCCACATGCTCTGCTTATTACTTATTTATAATGTAATTCTTACAGCTGATGGCTGGTCTTTCTACCCTTGAATTGAGAGAGGTCTTAGGGAAAGTCAGGAATCTTAACCATGTAAGAAATCGATAGTTCACAGCACCCTACGGACTGCAGGAAGCTGTGTAGCACCATCCCTCACATGGTAACCACAAGTGTTTTCCTACCCACATCTTTCCCTCTGCTTCTTCCTATCTGCTCTAATTTACATTGAGTTCATTTGCAATTCCACTCCTTTATCTAGTTCTAGAGCATCCTGAGTCAGAATTATCGGCAAGTCCACCACAGGCAGACTCCTAATCCTTCCTTTGAACTATTGCTTCATATTTAAGGATGTGAATGAGGGAGAGAAACTGTTTCCCCACATACGGTCTTTATAGGGCAGCTTCATTCTGGGGATGGGGCTCGGCAGTCTGGGACTTAAGCCGTACAGACACATCTGCTAAAGCCTATGTGTAGTGAGAACCACTACACATTCTGCCACTATGGGGTGTTAACTTCCTTTCATCTGTGTTCCCACTAGAGCTGAAAGCAATCAGGTATCTAATATCACAGAAAAGAAGTAAGAATCATATTTCCAAAGGGTTCCAGGTGAACTGGGTTATAATTTTTATTTTATTGATCCAGCCAGCCAGGCAGCCAATATCTGTCTCACAAAACAGAGAAGACCCAAATAGGTAGAGATTATGTAAAGATACTATAAAGCATTCTGGCCACGCCACATGCAGTAAGGGATTTAATATTAAATCCCTTACAAAATGCAGTTCCTTCTAAGTACTTACCAATGAGATGTTCTTCTACACTACGTAAAAAAGAATGGGAAGTTTAGTTCTTTTTTTAAAAAAAAATGTACTTAGGACAGGACCTACTGGGTCCCACTACACAAATCAGTCTCGTAGGGATCCTCTTGTTTTTAGCCTCGCAAGTGCTGGGATTACAGGTGCATGATGCCATGTCCAGGCTCAATCGCTGTCTCAGTGCACCCTAGGGGCAGGGCTGGCACTGTACGGCTGGGATCAAACCCCGGTCCCTGCATCTATCTAAGCAGGCACTTTAATCTGCTGAGCTATCTATGTAGTTTAATTCTAATTAAGTAACAACTCTTGGCCCAACGGTGAGCATAGTACTTTTACCAAAGTTGCTGCATTAACCAGTATCAAGATAAAGACAATCTGCTTCTTTATCTTTTCTATTTTTTAATTAATTTTATTGAGAAACAAATAGCAATAAGATAGTTTCAAAACTGAGTAAGAGAACAGTTTCAATAATTAATACATTGCATATTGTTATCTTCTTAGTGGTTATTCATAGTACAAGAGGCAGATATGATATCCTGTCCAAACACTATTAGTAAAAATATTTTTTCTCATTGAATTAAGAGAAAGTAGCTGTATATCTATCCTAACTAGTTTGTATATACAGATACAAAACAGTCCTTCATTTGTATTATCTTTTGTTGTTGTTGTTTAGCTTCGTCAGAGATGGGCATACCATTGTCACTTAAGTATTGTAGGTGCGTGAATTCAGTAAAATAATCCAATATAGTCCAGTAGTCCATAATAGTAGTAGGTTATCTGTAGGACTGGCAATGTCAGGAGTTGTTGACTTGAGCCTTTTACAGCTCAGCATATTAATATGGCTTTACTTTTTTTTTTTTAAAGTGCTTTTTAAAAAATTTTATTTATTTATTTGTGTGTGTGTGTGTGTGTGTGTGTGTGTGTGTGGCCAGCTCAGCCCACCAGGGGGCGGGGCTGGCTGGCCTGTGGTGCTGGGGGTTTGAACCGCGGTCCCTGTGCTTTGCTAAGTTTGTTCTAAGTAGGTGCTTTAGACCACTGAGCCATCTCACCAGCCCCCTACATTTTATACTTTGTTTTTATACTTTTCTGCTGGATGATTAAGACCAAGATAAGCAAGACTTATATAACAAGAAATGTAACTTTTGTATCTGCCAAAGTCAGTCAAATCCCCTCAGGCTTTACCCTGAAATCCTGTACAGCAGTTTATAGATCGTTTGTGAGGAGATAGTGGGATTTAAGGATTAAAGAACAGAATAACTATAAATAAATGTTAAATAGCAATCTAAACAGTCTAAACCTTGTTCCTTAGAAGCCCTAGATATTAGGCCAATTTCAACTGGTGTTCTTTTTTTTCCCCCCATAATTTTGTTGATAAACAAATAGCAATGAG